TGCAAAAAGTGTTTGTGTTCTTAGCAAAGTGCTGCAGTAGGCCTAATCAGCCAACGAGACCTAAAGTGTTGCATATATAGGCGTAAAGCACCATTTTCAAGAATTAATATAACAGTTTCGAGGTGTCTCATTAATTTTAATTAGTTGCTGTGTTATTGCTAAAAAAGTTCATATAAGAAGAATTTATATCTAAACACAATGGTTAAGACATATCTTTATGTAATATGTGATTTATTTATGTGACTCTTATGAAAAAATTATAGTGATATATGTTAATAATTAATTTATAGCTTTATATTTAATACCTAGCCCCATTTAATTATTATAAATAAGTTTTTAATTTGAAACTGATTTGACCACTAAATTAACAATAAATACTATGTGGAAGTTGTCTTTGTTTTCTTTCGTAATATAATGTTTTAATTTTGTTGTTTCTGTTACATATAGTAACATGACCCACAAATAAAAAGTTATAAAAAACCAAAATTTGGAACCAAAGATTCGTAGAAAACAAACATGATTTCTTTTGGTGTCCAAAGCATCGCATAATGGTGAAAATCCTCAGTAGGATCGAACCATAGGTGAAATTGCTCTTCTCGTCCTATGATGTGCCCGTCTCCACTTCCTCTTATGTACACGTTCGTTTGTAACGTATAAGGTTTATCAGGCGTTCTCCCTAAGAACTCGATGTCAACTTCATCATGATTTCCAGGATGATCCTCATTATTCGAAAGCTGTACAAGCATTCAATGATCCAAGCACAAAAAAACACCATCAAAATATAGATTAGAAAATCATACATATCATGCATGAAAATTATAGATTTATGTTGTAAGTAAATTTCAAGTTCATACGCACGTAAAACGATGTGATAACTCCAGCAGTGTAACCAGGGTGAAGCTTTACATCAGTCCCGAAGTAACCAGATTTATACGATTCTATCGACTTAAAACCGCTTCCTATAGCATTAAAAAGTACGATATATGAAGTTATATGGACTATATATGAACAAACAATGCATGACATACGAAAGCTATAATTCATAAATGTATGCATGCTGTCAACCTAGCTAGATAGCATACTAACCAGAAGACTTGTCGAGCCATATGGTGAGTGAACTTTGGTCGAGCCGCTGGTTCTGTGGGCCCCATAAATTCTTATAAGCTTGATTAAAGGCTATGGTATCAACCCTAGAGCTAGGGTTATAGCCAGGCGAGGGTGGGTTGCCCTGAGCGTTGGCTAAAGAATTGAACATGAAAAGAAGAAGGAGAAAGGTTGCCATGTTGGGAATAAAGGGATGTATGATCTGCTTAAATGGACGTACAATAGATAGGGGGAAATGAGAAGCATGCATACAGACCACATTTGGTGGGATAGGGTATAAATAAGAAGATTATGTAGGGACCCATGCATGCAATATTATTAAAATTTGGGTTGATATCTTATTCAAAATATAGAGGTGAAAATTTTGATATGTTTAGTTGTAAAGAAATTAAAGTCACTCTGGTTATGTTTTTTTTCAGTGGGTAAAAGAAGTTAAAGACGGGGTAAACATCCTCCAAATAGAAAGGAAGATCACCCTAAATTAAGTTGAAGTAGACAAATATCAAAACCGGAACACCTTATTTAAAATTTGTCAATCCC